CTTTTTACAAGAAAAAAAAAATGTTTTCATCGATTCAAGATTGTAAATCTTTTAATATCAGGATAGATTATTTTTTAATAAAAGAGTGAACAGTAAAATTGCCCATTTTGTTATGTAGCTAGCTTAGCTTAGTTCTTTTTTTTTCATTTTCTAAAAGCAAATTACAAGGGCTATCTTTTTATATATTATATGAAAATTATGTTTAATTTTCTTCCTATTCACACAAAAGTGTTTTAATTTTCCTTATATAATTCTTAAAAAATCTGACAATTTTGAGAAACCTTTAGCATGAAAATAGCTCGGTGACCCAAACTTTTTTTTTAAATAGCAACAAAGTAAAAAAAATATCGATTTTGATTTTGATTGAAATTGTCAAAATTCTGAAATTAACATCAACTTATTTAAAGAACTTAAAAGATACTAATGCCTCGTTCACACGTACATTTAATTCGAATTGAATTCGAATCGAATGCGAATCGAATTCGCAAATCGCGTTCACACACTCTTCTTTTTTTTAATTCGAATTCGTTGGCTAATTCGCATTATCCAATTCGCATTAGAAATGCGTTTTCGTTAATGCGAATTAGTTAATTCGCTTTAATTCGAATTTAACTGTGGTGTGGACACTTTTTAAATTGTGATTCGAATTAGATTAATTAATTAATTGATAATATGAATTAAAAGTTAACGTCGTATCAGCGAATTTGACTCGCAATGCTACATGTACCTCACTTCGATCTTCGGAATTAAATCTGTTCATGTTGATAGTGACAACTTTACACCGACCCTATATGCAAAGTGGGCTTATGAGACAAAAAGTAAACTGTACAGATTGAACGTCATATAACTCCGCTTTTCAAGTAATGAACTATAACCCTCTCTCTTTTGATATAGAGCAATGAAGTCCTGGGACAATTATTTTCAATGGACAACAACACAATACGAAAACAGAAACAACATTATACGACAACAGCTGACAAAATATTGCCAAAATAATAATAAAGATATATTGCTATTGAATGGCAAATTGCCATCATCTTTAACACATGTAATATAAGTATGACAACAAATTTTGATAATAAAACGATTTCAGAAAATCTGCGACCAAGTATAAATATCTGACAGTTTTCATGTAAGTATATCTTACTAGGTAAAATAAGAACATATTACATTGATCTATTTATATCACAAACTTTCCGTTAACAGTGCCAAATATGTTCAATAGATAGTATCTTGAAGTACCTTTTAATCAAGAAAATTGGATTTTTGCGGAAGGAATTTGGGGCACAATTTAACCGAAAATATTGATTTCTGTCAGCTTGATAAGAATTGTGTGTTAATTTGATATTAAAAGATATATAAAGAGATAATTTACGAAGTGTTATTTTCATTCATTAGCTTAGAAAAGTATGACTTTCATACTAACATATTTATACTTCTACCATTTTACTTTTCTTCAAATGACTATTATAAATATACCGCAAAATTAATTTTCCAACATTTACTTTTCACGTAAAAGAAAACAAAAGGGCGAAGTTTAGGGTCTTAATGTAGCAATTTGGAGAAAATTCAGGATTTTGTGATTTTTACGGTTATGATGGTATACAAAAACTTCTTTGTGTTGATTTCATGCCGCTATCATGTAAAATAATAAAATACATGTTTCTCGAAAAACGGTCCTCCTCTGTGCATGAATTTTTCTTTCCAGCTGATGTTTTGCAATATCACAATGACCTTCAAAGAGTAAAGAATCTTGCTTGAATTCATACTTAACAGAGTATCAATTAGTCTTTTTTGCTATCCCAAAATCATGACTTTGTGATTGACTCGGCTTTTTCACTGACGTAAATGATATTGACCAGAACATATCGTCTACCTCCAATCAGCACGTAAGACAAATATTTTGACATGAAGACTACATAAGTTCTAAAATCTAAAGTGTTCGACACAATATGAAGCCTGTAGAACTCTTTTAGATGCCATGAATATATAAATAGTTTATTCATATCTTTTTAAAATCAAATTTCAAACATTATTGGACTACTGAGGTGGTGATTGTGGTGGCCATCTTTCCATCCAAATTGTGATCGAATAGATTAATTAAAATTAGCAAACTTTGGCATATAAATGCTATTTACTTGCAAAAAGTTCGTATAAAAGTTTGAGGAAGTTACTATCTTTAATAATTACAAAAGTCTTTTTACATATCATGATAATCAAAACATTCAAAAGACTAAGTATGTGTCAAGATGTACTAGATATAGGATTGTTTGAGCCAAAACTCAGAAGAAACTACAATGATGTGATGTCGGACATTTGATTGACCCATATTGTTCCGAACTTTGTACTTAGAAAATTTATTTGAACTAGTTTACAGTAACTGCAAGTACTCTCTCTTTTGTCTGTTTGTTATGTTATTTGTGCCCTTCGTGTCAATCTGATGAATCGAGCCTTTTATACAAAGCCCGAGAAAAATTTAGTCTATGTACTAACCTATTAGTCAGATTTTTCGGTATGCAGAATATTTTTTAACGTGATGTACTTTTAGCAAACAATTTGCTTCTTGTCATGTATTTCTGGGTAACAATGTTTTGAAATATTTAAAAAGGTGGTCTCCGGATTTGTAGGAAGAAGGTAATGTAAAACTGAACGCAGACATGATCGATAAATCAGGTTTATGTCGTAATGTCTGATCTGGTCATAAAATATTTAGAACAAATATTTGATTGTTTATTCATTTCATGATTTAAAACTTTCTTTGTATAAAATATGTCTTCTGTTACGACATATTATGTTTATACTAGATTAAGACAAAAGTATAAATCAAGACAATGCAACATCCCCACAAATAAAGATAATAGAAATTATTTGATTGATAAAAAATCATTTCCATCGTCATTTAAACAACTGAAAATGGGGAGTACCATTTACAAATACTTCTGAATTTCGTCTCAAGGAGCGAGTTTCACCATTACTGTGGTGTGTTTTTACTGCCTTGTATGTCACGAAGTATCAGCCTACTTTGAGACTTCTATATTAGAAAACTTTCTTCATCAATGAGTATTGTTTAACCCATTCGAAAATTCATGAATTTGCCTCTTTAATCTTTAATGTTACATAAACTCTATTCATTATCCACTTACTTCTTGTTTTATAAAATACGAGTCATCGCAAAAACTGTTTAAAAATATTAAGGTAAAACAGAAAGCATTAAAAAGAAAAAAAAATACAACGCCAATACAACTTCAACATTTAAAAGAAAAACACATTTGATCTTAATCATTACGGTCCAAAGATGTAAGGATGATTGTTCTCGAACTTCTTCCAAACCAGAGACATATCCAAAACAACTTTCAGTCTATACTAAAATCTATTGTATCCCAGTTTCATCTATGCACTTTGTGGTTCTATCAATATATGTGCTACTTTATTAAATGTTATCAAATTATGATTGCTATAAGATGGCCCAAAACTCAAATCTTAAGAAATTTTGGGAAATTGTGAGAATTTGAAAAAAGGGTACATGTAGAAAGAAAATCCTAAGTCCTATTTTGGTGGTACTTACTAATACAGTGCTCCCTCTATCATCAAAACGAAAAAAGTAAAAAAACTGCAACATTCTAGCATCATGATCAAACCAGGTGTCATGACAGCAAACTGGTTGTCTTAGGACTAGGACATGTCACATCGTGGTATAAGGATGGGCTTACGACAAGTTAGGTTAACGAAAGCCTCCTTAAATAAGATATGTGATAAAATTCGTCCTAAAGTTAGGATAGCAACATAGGTTTCTCGACTTGGTCTTAGGATAGTCCTAAAACTTGGGATAAATAACATATATGAGGCTATATTTCTGATACACGGTGGAGGTTTACAAACATCTGTTCTTGGTGATTCTGAAACAGAAGCTAAACTATTCATCGAACTTTATTATGATTATCTTTTACATGAATAAAAAAGTAACAGCAAGTTATAACAAATAAAAAGGTAATCCAAACGAGTGGACTTAGGGTCAAATCTTGTATACACATTCATCCAAGAATATAATAATTTTTCAACAGTTTACTTTCTTGTTTGAAATTATTTTTGTCAATTTCTATTATGAACAGTATTATTTTTTCTGGAATTATTCTTGAAATAATGCGATATTCCCTTTTAAAATGTATACATACAGACGATTATATCACCTAATAATTTCTTTACAGTTTAGTTTGGTTCCTATTGTCATTATTTTTTTTTAATGATTTTTTTTGTATTATGATCATTACTTTAATAATTTATCATATTATTACAATTCCTTTTTACATAATTATATACCTTAAAACGCAATAAAAATATTAGGTATATTTCTCTATATCATATATTCATTAATTAGCAAAAGATGGTCTTATAGTGGTGTTAGGGCAATCTTAGTAAAGATCATATTTTTATTATTTAAACTACATGTAGGTAAATAAATTTACATTCACAGTTTTCAAATAGATACACTGACTCTTAACTACACTGCTAAACTGTTTTAGGCAATTTTTGAAGCTCGAAATTAATATGAATGAAAACCTTACAATATAGAAATAAGTTTCGTGACTATCAAGACCTTCTAAGCCCTTGTGAATTTTTGCGTATTTTTTTTTCTTAGTCATTGTTGAATAATTTTGGTTTATATCAATGAGTACTTTTCCCATGCAGCTATTTTTTAGGAATCAAATTTAATAATGAAATTGCAAGCTATATCATTTTGAATTGGTGACTGTTATACAACTGTCTATTACAAGTTATAGATGACGTAAGCCTACTTCTCGTATAAAAAATTAAATCGCACAACAAAGCAATACGCAAATTCTGATCAAAGTATCCATAAATAATAAAATGAATTAATAGCTTAATTAATCAATAAGTAGAATAAGATAAAATAATGAAAGTAATGAATAAGGAAAGAAAAAACAGAAATAAAGAAATAAAGAAATACAAAAATTCGAACTTATTTTTAAATGATTACTAACCTCTTTAATCCTAATGTTACTAGAAGTACTGCATCGACAATAACGATGAACAGTGTCATCATGGGCAACCTTTCCTTGTTGCATTTTCCATGAAATGGAGTCAAATCTTCCATAATTGTTTTATTTCATTAAAAACGCCAAAAAATATTAAACCAAATGGATTGAAAATGCATAAAAACACAAAAGTACTTTTCTAATCCAATGTCTGAACTAACACATTTACAATAAGAACACATTTCGGTTTGATTTTTGCCGATATTAACTTCCATTTGCAAATTATTTAACTTCAAATCTATTACAATCGAATGTTCAAATCCACTTCGGTTGTTCGGTTGTAAGTGACGATTTACCGTATGATTGTCATATGATCTTTTTTTACTTGTAATGTATTGTAACCACTGAAAATTATAAAATATTTGAAAAACGAGGTTCAATAGACTCCTTAAACGTTAATTTATGATGTTAGATGTTCGGTAAAAGTATAAACCTTTCTAAACATATGCCTGTAAATACATGTATATACAAAAAACGAAACGTTCCGAGAATGCGAAAGTTATTTTTAGGTTCGTGTAATTTCTTTCATGGACAGGTAAAACAATGACGAAATATGTATACATTGAGGAAGAAATATATCGGGGTTTTTAAACAACCTTTAACAGAATCTGATAAATATATTCACATGCATCTATTGCATGATTTTATGTGTGACACAACCTTGTTAAGTTGTTTTTATTTATAGATTTGAGCAATTTCAGTTATGTAGTTTGTCATTTCGGAAAAACTCCAAGTACACTACTGACAAGGTATATTATGTTGTAATAACCTCGAAAAAATGTAAACAAAAGTGCGAATTTATTAAAAGCTCAAGATTGTTCGATTGATAAGGTAGTAAAAATCCGAAAGAGACAATTGGTTTCGCGTGAAATGGGGTGGGGGAGATATCTGTAAGTTAGCTGCTGGTTTAGGGTAAATTTCTGCATAGATATGTAAAGAATTTAATCCATTAAAAGTTACAAAAAATTATCCATTGTAAAAGTTCAAGATTAAGAAAAACGATAAAATATAAGACATAGAAAAATCCCCCCCCCCCCCCCCCGAAACCAATCATTCAATCAAACAAAGAAGAACGAAACTTTGGCTAATATCTATCAGAAAACATTCCCAACCCTTGTTTTATTATGCGATCTATTCTAGTTTCAAGAATTATTCAAAACGGTTTTCACTAGATTTTCCCGCACTGTATTTTTTCAGCTTGTAAATATTCTACATCAATATCAAACACTACAAAGGTAAATGTATACTTGATGTCGCAATAATAAAAGGTAACTCTTTCCGTTGTTTAAAAATGTTATTAGTACAAATGTGCTTTCACTCACACATGGCGGCATGTGAATTTCTATCATGCAAAGTTATATGAAAATAGAGAGAACTGAAATTGATGTGTGCAACGCACATTTCTTGATACACCATCATCAAGGAATGCTCAGAATCAAATTATTTTCTCGATTTAACATCATGATGAAACGCTTAAATATCTTGAAAGAACCTTAGGATTTCTATATTTGAAATATCCTGAAAGATTAGCCAAACTTGCATTAGGTAGATACAACCACAGTTTTTTTTATGAAAATTGCAAAACTGTTTATGAGCTGAGAGTTTATAAAAGAGTATATAATAAATAGCTGGTGATATCTAGACAATGAAAACAATGGAGGATAACCACACTAACAACAGTCTTATAGTTCCAGTGTTAGTAAATCAAAGTAATTCATAGACTTTGCTGCATGCATTTTCTCTAGCCAGGTCTGTAGTCTCCTTTAAGCATCTTGTTGAGGCATATTGTTTAGACTATAAAAAATTATAAATATCGATTTCAAGAGTTTGATTTAACATAAAAATGTGTGGCATTCCGGTGTATCTAGACAGCTCTGAAGTCGTATCAGTTCTACAAAAGGTATGATCTAAGCTTCTTTCAAAGTTTCTTTTATTTTCTTTATTTTGACAAAATTGGTTAATATTTAATATTTCTTTTAAATGTGGAAGTAGTAAAATTGGAGTAGAAAGTTGTAGTTATCATCAGAAAACGTAACATGTTTTCCTGATTTATCTTTGTCGGGTATGCTCGAGACCAAACGTTTGGAAAGAAAAACATACAATATGAGTTGGAGCAAAAAAAAGAACCAAAGAGTTTTATTTAAAAAAAACACTACGGCAAAATCCGCTTAAAATTGAAAATAATACTATAAAATTTTCCTTCTTCATCAGAAACGCTCAAATCCAAAATTTCAAAGCCTGGGATGAATTATTACTTGACAAGTCACATGACCAAAAAGGACAAAAAAGAATAGCCAAAACCGTCTAAAGGCAACTTTGTCATATTTTTTCAACGGATAATTTCAGAAATGTATGTTATAAGTTATTTCTGTGACGAAACATGCCCCAATTGCTGAGCGGTCAATTTGCCTCAGGGATTTGAAACCCTAATTTCATGGACTGGAAATATACATTTAAATCATATCAATACAGTAACTGAAGAACTTGTCGCTACCCGGATGGTGCCATTCAATGACTGCTTGTCCACCAGCAGTGCACTGACCCTATGGTAGTAAACAAAATGTATGATAGATCTCCGTTTGCAATGATAAACTTTTATCTAATAAAATTAAGTTTATTTTTTTCGTGGTCTGTTGAAAAATGAAGAACCGGAACAGTTTACAAAATTTTAAAAACAGTTCAGAAAATAGTAATTAAAAAGCTTCAGTAATGACATTTTTTCCATGACGTTGACAGCTGATTTTCGACTTATGAGTTTGAATGTCCCTTTGGTATCTTTCGCCTCTCTTTTTCATCTTCAGTAGAGTGTCATAAATAACTTATAGTATTGTACAGTAAAATTATATTCCATTTTTAACGCAGTCAACTTCAAAATAAGAGTTAAAAAAGTAAGACGATTCCAGAGGAACAATCAAAATACATAAATCTAATATAAAGCAGACATCACCGTCCATAGGTAAAAGAATAACAAAATTAAAAAAAAGTACACAGAAAATTGAATATTAAACTTCCGAAGAGATGACTTAAACTGCACTATAAGGTCCCATTAGTTCCCGAAAAGCTTTCTTGTAAGCAGAAACCCTCCATCAAGGAACTCCTAATTGAAAATGCAAGCCTTTCGATATCGCAGCTGGTGCAATGTTACAAAGGTATGATATTCGTTGTCTAGACGTATTTCTGGAATAACATTCCATTAAACATTCATCAAGTATCATCAAGACCAAACTTTTGGAAGCCAAAAATACAAAAGGTTTGAGGGAATGACAATAGTTCGACCCTACAACATCTTCATGTGCCTGTCCGAAGTAAAGAATCTCGTCATTGGTTGCCTTTGTTTAGATCTTCATTAGGTTTGCTGATGAACTTCGGACACTTTTGTTAAATCTAACAACTTGTGTAGACTTGATATATGGTATGGATATCTGAAAGTTATGGAGTCCGTATGTTGTCCTCTAAATGTCTCTGAATTCTTTGAGTTTTAGGGGTTTATTCAGGGTTTCATTTACGTTATCTCACATCCTCTTTTATTGATACGTATTTCTGAGGTTGGAATCGGATTGCTATGGTACGTGCCGTCAATTATGCACATCAAACCATTTTAAAAGAACATTTTCCATAGTTTTCAGTTGTTTTTTTTTTAATTGCTACTTTTTGTTTTTTAATTTCTGGTACTTTAACATAAATATCTTAGAAGACATTCCCTTTATTTACAAGAAAATAAATTATTATAATTTAAACTGTATCTAATGATTTAGTGGATGTTGGTACAAAGACTAAATAGATCAACGTTAACATCTACATCTTGGCCAACACTGATAAATAGTGATATCTGAATAATTATTGTCTTTCACCAATAAGTGTCTTCATTCATGTAACTATTCCCTAGTCATACCAATTATTGGTGGACACTTTGATTCTGACATTTATGCTTTTATATCGGATTTTTTGCTTGATTACAAACATAAACATTAAAAATAAATCCTATTAATTAGTGAATCATAGGTCAAAAATATGTAATTTAAGGCGACAGAAGTTAACTGATGTTCAAATCTCGTAAACCTATTAACAAGAGGCAAATCATGCCAAAAAACTAAAACAGTATTTTGCAGTTAATGTACGCAACACATAATTGTTCTATACATCAAAACAAAAACAAAATATGTATCTCCCATAAAGAAATACAACTCTCTTAAAAGTATAGAATTAATTGATAGCCTTTATAAAGAAACATCGTCGCCTTTAATAGATTAGCTATTTGAATTTATTCTTTTATTGTCTTAAATATACAGAGATACTCTTAAATGTGGCGATAGAAAAATTAATAGAAATTCAAAATTTCTTAAGCCTTTAAAGAATCACTCTTAATATCTATTACTTTGCAGGTAAAGAAGACATCATGCAGTAGCTAGGTGAATGATCACAACAAAACGACAATGTACAACTAACTGATTGTGAAACAAATCAAACAGTTTATATTGTTCAAGGTAATAATTACATTACCGGAAGCAAAATAAGATATTTGATTTTTACATATTTTTTCGTTGTGGTCTTCCTATCATTAAGCTGTCAGGCGATTTCAGTTGCCTTCTTTTTATTTCAATATCAACTGTGGTCATAAAATGACACGGACGAATGCAATGATGACTCATTTTTAATTTTGTTACTAAGTCTATTGTAGTTTATGTTAAAGCGACGTTCAATTTCCGGATAAGTTTTATTGTAATTTAAACATTAAACATCTCGTCTGCTAAAGAAACTTTTCTAAGAATAGCAAAATCATAAGCGGGAACGTAATTTCATATCAACTTGGGTATATGTGCTCAATACAGAGATGCTGATGAAATGTCGCTACATTAAAATGGAAAGACCATCTACTGCACTGCCTGAATAATCATATATTTCAAAGGAGATTTCCCGCCTTTATTCATTATAGAAATTGCTTTTAATTTGTGTTTGTCCAAACTTTTACGTTACAAACTTTTTTAGAATTAAAAGCTATTTGTATATATATATCATCATACTGACCTTCACATATTTTGTTTGATAGGGTTTTGTCTAAGGACAAGGCTTGATATCGGTCAAAAGCCCAAGCTGTCAGAACTTTGAGCAAAAAACATCTGTACACATAACTGTGTATGTTGTTATTTTATTGTCTCAAACATATATTATTTATCCTAAATGTTCCCTAAATAGCTATCAAAATTTTCAATAAATGTATCTTCAGTGATGCGCGAGGCTTGAATATTTGAAAGTCCAAAACCTAATAAAAACGTTAAAGAAGTAATAAAACCAAAAACGATTAAACGTAAAGCCAAAACATCAAGAACAAAAGGAAATCAGAGCTAAGCACGGGAAAGATACATTCCTTAATCTAAAAAAGCTATCAAATATCATCTTTCAGATATTGACAAGACACTAGCTTGACAGATATTGATACTTTTTTATTTTATCTTCTTCATGTTTGCATCAGGACTTCAAAATACAAAATAGCCTTGAGATCTTGTCATTAATATCGAGATGTCAGCCCAGGTCTTACCTAAAAAGATATTGTCGGTAAAAGATGCCTAATACATAGATGGTTCTGATGGAAAAGTAAGGTCTTGGCTCATAATTAATTCGACAGAAAGTATGTTTTCAATTTTGTTCAAATATGTCAATTTCGACATGTTAACGTGATCATAGTGCATCACAAGTAACATTTTTGTACTTAAATCATCCAATTCATTTTTCAGGGAAATTAACATAACTTGGAGTGATTGAAGAGTTTCACTTTCTTTGCAATTTCAGGGACCATACAATGGCTTGCTTCATACTTCGTACTTTCGCCTTATTTTCATATATTGAAAATCCCTGCAATTATTTTTTTACACTGATACACATCACATTAAATGTAAATCAGCAAAGTGAAATTTTTTTTTAAGAATATAAAGAATTATCATGATACGTCGCATAACAAATTCGAAAAAGGCTGGGTTTTTTTACAAAATAGTAATAAAATTAGCATTTCTAAAATATATGCAGTTTTTCGCTTAACACTCCTGATTTTATTATTTATTTTTAATTATTTATTTATTTATTTATTTATTTATCGTTATTATAATTTATCATATGTTATGTGTCAAATCTAATGTTAAATTAAATAAAAAGGTAGTATCTAATTAAAACACAACTTGTATTTTGTCTTCTGTAAGGTATTCTTGTATCTATTACATGCCAGGGAATACTCCAGTCGTGTGATGGATCATCGGTGTCATTTATATAGCATTTAATGTTCGTGACAAAAATATCACACTTCTTAACAACGTACTAATGAGTAACACCCATTTACCGTAATGAAGGTCTAGTGATTCCATCGTAGATTGCCTGTTTCCTGTAAAGCATTATTATTTTGGAGAATACGGAATATTTTTAACCTAAACGTAAGTAAATTGATTTTGAATAGATTCATGAAGAGAGAAGAAAAATATGATGTAAGACGAGTACAAAAGACGTTCTGTTATAATAAAACAAACGGGAAAGCTGATATCCTTGTCGTATACAATAACCAAATTCAGAAAATGTGCAAGTGAATATTATTTAAAAAGAGATGTGATATAAAAAAAAATTCATCAAAGATACTAGGCTTATAATTATCAGCTACAAAGAGACAGCAATCAACAATCACAAGTTAACTACAAATCGAATTGATGAGGTATAGAAATGGTCATCAACACTTGAGCTATATGTAAAGCTCTAGATTACTCCGGATGTAAGAAATTATAAACTAATTCAAAATGCACCAGGTGATCGTTTTTGCATAAAGGAAGAGGTATGATAAGAGCTATTATTTGGCCCCTAAAATTACAAAAAAGTAAATGCCCTTCAGAAGTATGTTTATTTTAAGGATAAATGAACAGGTTAATATAGTCCGGACACTTAAATGCATAAAGGTCACTTGTGGTATCACGGTAATGTCATAAACATGTTCAAATTGATATACCGCATCTAAAATGACCATTTTACACATACTTTTTGGAAAAAATAGATGTCATATCCCTGCTGATACACATATAATGTACTTACATTTTGAAATTAACAGACCGGACCTAAAAACTCTCCAAAGATTAAAGGTTTATAATTCAGTACGCCAAATGCACCGTTCGTCTGCAAAAGACTCATCAGTGGTGCATAAATCAAAACAGCTACAAAACCAAATCAATTAAGAAATGAAAGAGCGTCGAAAAAAATGTAAAAGGTATTCTTTCGATCTATCTATTTTTTGCATTGATGAGTGTTGATGTCTTTAAAAAGTGTAATGTTTTTCAAGATATTGACAAGATTTCTTATTTTTATTCTTTTAAAGGTTCATTTAGTTCTAAATTATTAATTCATACGCAGTAAAATTCCAGATTTTCATCACCAAAACGCTCGGTTATGACGCCATAGCAATACATGAATACATAATTTCTTGTTTTGTACTAACGAGAATTTGTTTCTACTCTTTTGTAAATAGATCAAATGGTTACATTTTTTTTTATTAATCTATCATTATTAGACAGAAATGAATGAAGTTTAGGGCATTTGATGATTGACCCTCCATTAAATTTCTTCAATGCACGACGTAGTGTGGTTACAAAAGAAATTATATCATCTTAATTGCGTATTTAGGTTCATATGGTGTTTAAAACAATGATTTTTAAAAACTGTAAAAGCTTGTTTGTAGTATGCAAGTAAAACATTATCTGTATGCATTAATGTTTTAAACCAAGGCTACGTGTTTTGTCTTAAAATTGTAATTTTTTCCATTTGGCGTCAGTCTTCGTGGTATAGTGGTCTACAGAGTTGACATATTGGTATCAATCAGCAAAATGGAATAGACAGTGAATCATTAAATTGATTTTTTTTTATTTGGAAGTCTTAAATGACACAGGGAGATGAAATAATGGTCCTATAATATGACAAAAGTAGCCCTCTTAACAGCCTGTCAAAATTTCATGTTCTTGCAGTTTTTGTCCATATAACATTTGTCACTACACCTACATACACTATACGTTAATTATAAAACTGATTGACAGAATTGACACATTTGGTGACCATCTTTGTCTGCGTAAGTATATGTTTATGCAATTATTTCCTTATTGTGGAGAAAATCATATACGAATATAAGGAAATACATATTAGGTCAATGTCTTTACTAATCGATTTGCGTAAGTACTGAATGAAGGAAACAGAATCATTTGAAATCACAAAATGTACAATACCAATTTACTTTACTTTTGTTTTTTGTGAGCGTGTAGTGATTTTTTTGTCATGAATTGATACAACATATACTTTCTTTTCAATTTTACATTCGGAAAAACATAAAATTAAAAGGTTTTGTTATGCTTAAGGCACCATACTATTATAAAATCTTTAATTCTTCAATAAACTCTGTTAGATGAAATTCAAATTTTCAGTTTTCTTCTGAAAGGAATCTAAAGTAAAAATAATTTCGACGAATAGCTGATTTTTTATATTGTTGTCTATTTAACTTAAAATTGAAATAATAGGACCTTGTTAAGTTTCTATTCATTATGTTGTACTCCAAATTTATTCGTATAAACTTTTTTTCCCGTATATGATCGTTGTCTATAGTGATTGTGTGTAGCGATGTCTAGTGATTAATGGTTACACGCAGTATTTTCCTCAACGTCACAGTGATAATCATCATCGTATTTATTAAATGACGTAGATGTTGTTGCATAGATAATTTTAGGCAGACATCTGAGGCGATAAATATAAGGAAACTTATAAATAAGCGAAACATTGTTAACTGTAGTGACCCCATCACTTTGTCTTTCAACTTTACACTTCAAACTAAACATAGAAAGATTTTAACATCCAAAACGAATTCGGTGACCATGAATGTATAGTTTTAAGATCCATTTTGTTACATCTGGTAATCCGTTTATTTGGCAATCGCCATGGCATTCAGGAAGGGTGTAAGAACATCCGTTGTTCGACCTGCTAGTCAAATGCGTTTTGTTAAAATAGACTTTTTCACTTTTTTGGTCTTTTGAAAAATGTTGTTTGTGCTGTATTTAGACCCCTCTATCAAGAAATTTGTTTTGCATGCACACGTATAAAAATTGCGGTTTTTATCCAACGCAATCGTAGGTTTGAACTTTGTTTTCAATTTAGACTTGTTAGTTCCATATATATATATATATATATATATATATAAACAAATTCACTAATAAGATTTTCGAAATTATAGTTCTGAGATATATAAAAACACATATTTCAGTAATTTTCATATCACTTCTGTATAAATTTTTGTTCATTTCTATAAATTTGAATCAGTTATATTCCTTTTAAAAAAGATGAAATATTCTAGGAAAACATGTTACATTGTCATGATATCGTCGAGCTACTGTAGCTTTTATAAATGTATCTGAATTAAGATTGGTATGTCATTCGGACTCTTAGTTATGTGAGAATTTTTTCTTCTCTTGTAATTTGTTCTACTGTTTTATTTCTTAATTTCTCATAATCTCATTCAGTTTGTTTATGAATTTCTATGTCATAAATCATACAAATATTACTGTAAAAACGTGACAGATATTTCATGTTTACATCATGTGAAATTATCTGATATCACTTTTGATATTTTTAGTTTTCATATTGTACTTGCTTAATTTTCATTTTTATTCTGGTGTTTCGCTGGGTGCATTTCTTCCATAATTGATTATGTGCTAATTATCAACAATTCAGATTTCCATAATGTTCACCTGACATCTAATAACTTGTTGCAAAATGATTTGATGGTCGTTTCATTTGTTTTATTATTATTATTTATTTTGGTTTTCAAAGCTCTTTAACTTAGTTATTATTTGCACTTCAATCTGTATTGTTTCAAGTGGTTTATCCAGATTTGGCATAACCTCTTGGAATCATTGGTTTTATTTTCTCATTAATTATGGTATTGATTGGGATTCTATTTTGATGAAAGCGACACTGATAAGTTGTATGTTTGCAAAACGCCGTCTGGCTTAATAAATTTAGGTATGGTATCTTTAGGGATTTGTACAATAACTGGGTCAGAGCAACTGTTGATGGACATTTCGTCTGCGACATTATTAGTCAACCATCATGTGCTGACATGAAATATTATTGATACAACCATTTGATGTAAATTTATTATTAAATAAATAATTGATAACATCAATGGTACCAATCTTACTGCACTGGATGCGCCTTATATTAAGTAATGTTTGAGGCCAATACATTATACTTTTATAACAGCAAATTTCAATCAAATAATTATCCGTATTGTCATGCCAGTATCGAGGTTCTGATTACTGGTTTGGTGATACCATCGGCGACTTGCAGTCCACCAGAAGAGGTATCGACCCAGTCGTAGTAATAAAATAAACGGTACTAATTTTAACTGCACCATATGAGCAAATCGAATGATTTGTTTTTTCTGCTGTTTTAATTTGAGCGCAACTGAGGTGTATCTAAGCCGTCTCTGACGCATTTAATTCTAGCCTATTATGTTATCTGTGTTTTTCAGAACTTTTAAAAGCGAATTGCTTTAAAAAATTATTGAAAATATTAAAGAAATGTTGAAACTAAACTTTTTCCTTTACTTGTTAAGTAAGTTTCTGAATTTTATTTTATTGTTTTTTGTTTTACATTTTATAATTCCCTAGAAATGTTGCATGATTGCTATTTTTTGTTAATTAGTATATGTTATGAAGATAAAAGTGTCTTTGTATAATAAGAATAATGATTAAGTGAGGCTAACTAAAATCATGATTTTTTTTTCAGATTATGAAATTACAGCGCACAAAACTTTTAGTAATTTTTCTAGTAGTAATTGTTCTTGATGAAGCTTATTCAGCACCAACAACACCACCAACGACTAAGGCAAATACCACAACGAAAAACGCAACGAATAAAATAAAAATAGAGAACAAACAGATGATAAAGACAAATAGAAAAAAATCAGTAGAATCAAAGAAAACCCAAAACCCGTCTACGACAACAGGACAAACCAAAATAGGTATCGAAAGCAAGAACTCAAAATCAGATATTTCTAGTAAAGCTTCTAAATTAGAAACCCAATCTAGTTTTACTTCAAACCTACCGGAAATGAAATCTAATAATATTGTTAATGCATCGACGACTACCAAAGTCATAGGTAATTCTGAATTAAAACAAGAGCGACAAAACAATGTTAAAGAAATAAAAAAACAAACCAAGAAAATAAGTGACACGAAATCAGTGCAAGTGACCACCGCAATAGATTCTTCAAAATCTAAACATTCAACAACTAAAGATAATGCAGATCAGAAAAAGACAGTTTCAACAAACACTGTTAAGACAATAATAAAAGCAGATAACAAAAGCAATGATGCTAAAACCATGCAAAAAGAGAACAATATAAATGTTTTAAAACCAGAACAGACATCTCAAAATGTTAACAGGCCAAATTTGAAAGAATCAAAGACGACAGATGTAACAAATGTAAAGAAGAATAAAGTATCCCCTAAAGACAAAACTACAAAAGATATTGAAAGCAAAAAAGGTTTAGTTGGTACAACATCAAATCCTTCTGCTAAAGATGCTAGTAAGGCTATCCCTGAAACAAAAATCAAAAGCAATGATCCGGAACGTGAGACAGCGAAAAAAAATGAACAAAAAGAAGATAATGTGAAAAATGAAAGAAAATCAACAGTCCGAAGAAATGTTCTAACAACATCTACAACCACACAAGCTACAGCTACTGATACAATGGAGACGGCTACAACATGGGATGGGTTACGTAAGTTTTATGCTCAGTCTTAATACTTCTTCTTTTTTATACATCACCATAATATGATTCAGTGAAGCATTCATAGTGATTGCCGTTGTTATGTAATAAGTTGTGTTATGCTTAGAATTGAAAATTTTGAATAAAAGAAGGTTAACATTCTGTCTTCAACACGATAGGTGTCTGTACATTCTGTCTTCAACAAGATAGGTGTCTGTACATTCTGTCTTCAACAAGATAGGTGTCTGTACATTCTGTCTTCAACAAGATAGGTGTCTGTACATTCTGTCTTCAACAAGATAGGTGTCTGTACATTCTGTCTTCAACAAGATAGGTGTCTGTACATTCTGTCTTCAACAAGATAGGTGTCTGTACATTCTGTCTTCAACAAGATAGGTGTCTGTACATTCTGTCTTCAACAAGAAAGGTGTCTGTACATTCTGTCTTCAACAAGATAGGTGTCTGTACATTCTGTCTTCAACAAGATAGGTGTCTGTACATTCTGTCTTCAACACGATAGGTGTCTGTACATTCTGTCTTCAACACGATAGGTGTCTGTACATTCTGTCATGCTCAAAATTACCCCAAGTATAGAAAAGTTAGGGATAAAGAATGAGATATGCTAAGAGTCGTCATATGTCCTCTGGGATTTAAAAAAAGGAAAATTCTTTAACAAATTATTAACAAATGAATAGAATAATATAATCTCGAACAGAATATGGCATGTGTGATGTCAATATGTTATCGACATATTTGACTTAAACTTGTTATTTTACACAATAATTTGGTATTATCATAAATAGATATGAGCCAAGGTCCATCCCAAAAAGATAGTTTTCCCACGTTAACTTTTTTGTATAAAACATATCTTTTTAAGTAAGACTTTAATATAAGAGAAACAAAATGATGTTATTATGAACACTTTTATGCAGTTTTGAAGTCGTAAGGTAAATTTTTAAGCAAATTCAAAAATATAAATACTGATTTCAGTCTTGTAAAAATCTGAGCGATTGTGTTTGGTAGATATTACTTTTTATTTTCGAATTCCAGGCGCCAAAAATATTGCTTGATCATACCTTGATTTTTAACAAAAAAAATTAACGGATGCTTATAACGTGTAACGGGTTATTTTAAACCATTTGCAAAACTAGAACCTGTTAATGTTAATTAAGTTTGAATCACATGTTGAGCAGAGAAACATTGAGTTTTGTTGATGTCATCGATTTGGGGTAAGCGGGGTAAAAAGGACTTTTTTTCATTTTGGATACGCTGCAGTACCATCTCTTCGGTCGTTTATCTATGATAAAAAGTATAGCAGGTCTACGCTTTCATTTTTATTCTAATTTTTTTTAAAATGCTAGTAGAGCGAGCAGGACTAACCAGATTACAGCTGATTTGTTACATTGAACGGTAAAATATGTTAAACACTATATTTACCTAACAAACCTTTTCTACATTACATGAAGTATTTGTGAATCACAATTTATCAACTTTCGTGATTTTTATTGCATTGTTTTCTTCGTTGCACAATTTAACAAAGACATAAAGAAAATCAAATTGACAAATTAAACAGGTGTAACATGTCCCAAGACTTTTTTTTATTTTCATTCATTGTAGAATATACAATTTTTTTTCATCAATCACTTAGATTGATCTTTTAGCATTTCAAAGCCTAAACTACAAAGACTTTTAAATCACGATATTTTATTTTATCAAGCATAATGCATATTTCAATTTGAAAGGTGTAACATAAGTTTGGATTTAAGTAATTTGTTGAAAAATTGACGGTCATTTTTTTTTTTATTTAAAACAAAATCCAAACTATCTAAATCGGTGAAGTCTCACTATACATGTGAAACGGGACAACGACCAAATGAAGTTTATATATATAGTATTGTAAAAGTTATTGACACTGACGAAGGCTATTTGTTAAGTCGAAATATTTGTAAACACGATTTTATAACATCATCTTCGTATATTACTATCTTATATTAGCACCGTTGCGCAAAGCTTAAGACTTTTATATTTATAAAGAAATATACAAACCAATGAGGAAAAAATAAGATAAATTCAAATAAAGAAAAGAATTGTTTATCTTGTGGTATGGAGGTTGGCCTAGTGGTCAAGTAGTGCTTCAAAGAAACTCATATTAAACAGTTGAACCTTTCTGATTTACAAAGTTAACTTTAAGCCCAACCATATGACACTTGTATTTCATGAGTAAGAATGACTGATATCGAAACGACAATACACAAGTTTTTTTATAGTTATTATCACAAATTGGTTGCTCGATACCATGTATCTTTGTCTCAACACCCTGACATGTTTACCTGATATTATGTCTTAAAATACAAGAATATTCTCGCTCCGTTTGCAGTTTATGCGATTCTTGCACTTTGTTATGTTTATTTGTTTAAAGAAAATGATTTACGAGTTTTGAGCATGGTATACTACTGTTGCAGCCTATTTCTTTTTCAATATTTACTTAGAGCAACGAAGTATTCAATTAACGAAAGAAAAATGAAATACCGTGTTGAAAAGACAAGTCCACAGTGTCTTTAAACTTGTTTCATCAGAGAACTAGTTTCTTCACTAAAACTCTATTATCAAAATTTGATTGGAAATTGCTTCTTTTGTTCCGGAACACTGCAAGGCTGCAAGGCATACAGTTGTCAATAAAAAAAGAACGAGACACGCAAACATTTTCAGCTAAACATCTTTTAAAATTTAAGCATTCAACCACATTAGAGATGTACTCAAAATTTGAATGGAGCTATCAAATCATTTAACAAATGAAAGAATGATAGTTCTACAAATACGTTTTGCATTTAATGTATCCCTATTTCATGCTAAGCTATATGTGCCTTTTTGTTTACATGTGAACATATCGTTGTGATAAATTTGGAGTCGGTTTCATTTTTTTGCTTTGTGTCGATCATTTCGACTGATTTTTTAAATTTGTTCTTATGTTGTGCTGTAACGCCACTGATCCAGGTCAGGTGGAGGGTTGGGCGCCCACAAACATGTTTAATCCCGCCACATTTTCTTTAGCCTGTTCCAAGTGAGGAGCCTGTATTTCAGTGGTTGACGTTGGTTTCTGTTTATCATATTTGTATTTCCTTTAGTGCTTTGTACATAAATCAGGCCGTGACTTTCCACGTTTGAATTGTTTTACGTTCTGTTATGTCGGGACTTTTTATGGCTTGCTATACATTGGGTTTTGTTCACTGTTGAAGGTCGTACAGTTTCCTATAGTTGCTAACTTCAACGCCATTTTGTCTCAGGTGGAGAATCTTATTGTTTTATATTGTATTTAACCTCTGATATTTTTTGATACACCGGTCATTAAACCTCTCACGTTTCAGGGCTCTTCCTGGTATAATAATTTTTCTATTTGTTACAGCATGCAGCTCTCGATTTCAAGCGCATCCGTTGGATAAGACAAAATTTGAAACAGCCTTTAATGAAAATGTGTTTGAAAATATCTATCAGAGTTGCCCAGTACCATTAGTATGGCGACAAGACCAGTGCAGATGTGGATGGGCAGAACCTGAACTTGTTGAATCATGCAAATGCTGTAGTCAAGGACTAAAAGCACATACAAATCCACAAATGTATCAACGCTTGGTAAATGGACAATGGCAAGAAGAGACTTGCAGCACTTATACTGATAGTCAAGTATGGAATGATGACAACTGCACTTGTGTGTGGAACCCAAATAAACCACAATCACACAAAGCACCAGTTTTCAGAGGAGCTATCTTACCTAAATGTTAGTATCTTTAGCTATTTCATAATAAGCTGTTTTAGTGTATTGCTCATTTTTTTAAACAGCAAGAATGTATTCTTTAATAATGTCTAGATGGAAATCCTGTCTATCCTTTTTTTTTAATATGGATTCAATTTTCTTCGGGTAATTGCTAAAATTGAAAGCGTTTTTATGTTTTTTTTCAATGATCTTTTTCAAAAACCTCAGTGTTTAAATGATGTTTTACCATTTTAAATTTGTTCAAATATATTCCTTTTGTAAATTGTTGAATTTCATGTGTAATCTACAACGTATGACTTATTTCAGTAATGACCAAATGCGTAAATTTGGTGAATATGACATTAGATGAAGGATTAAGAGATGCAGACGGTCGCGATCTTACTCCACTGTTTGGCCGTCAGAGAATTAGAGTGGTGGAAGAAAAAGGAGATATCGGAAAGTCAGTAGAAATTCGTCGTGCACCATTCAAATTAGGAATTTTCAATGGAAATGATTTACAATCTACTGTGTACTTCAAATTCAATTTTAAAGTTCATCCAGATCAAGTGCGCAGGCGTCAAAAGATGATAATCATGTCAAATGGTTGCAAAAGGCGTTGGCAACGTAAAGTGATTAAGCCATCATTAGAAGTAGCGTTCTATCCTTTCAATGAAACGTTTGAAGTACAGTTTTCAACGAGTGGAAAAACGGTTGTTGAGTTTATGAAAGGAGTTAAGGTATGCCTTTGTTATTAATTGGTAGTGAAAAACAGGAGTTCAAACTACTAGTATTCGAAACAAAATGGAAGCCTTTCGTGATCTGAAGATGCAAAATTTGATATTTCGAAATATTGTTAAACTTAATTGTTAAAACGGTTGGAGTTACAAATGTGAAATCCCAATTGTTCTCTACTGAATTAATTACATTTTCATGACAAGACCAAGAATGCAAAATGTATACACATGGATGTCGTTTTGATTGGTATCTCCTGCACCTCTATACATTCATTGTGTATATGTTTACACATTCAAGCATGAAACCGTACCATGATCTGATCAGTGCAATTAAACACTTCTGTATATAAAAGGAAAATACATATGATGTCAATTTCAGTGCATAAGATAAATTGTTTATGGTATAAACTTCGTATGGTACTCTCGAGACCCAAAACGTAGGAAAACAAATATATAGAAATCTTGCATGAGTATTAAAATAAGAGTTATGATAGAACAGCCGAAGCCGTCTTTTAGTCTTTATAAAGTACCATTCAAATGGGAAATGGTGCATACCGAAAAGTATAACAAATATTCGTAAGGGTTCCGCGGAACCCAGTGTCTCGCCTACTTTTGCTGTTGTCTATGTTTTCAGTGTGATAGGGGAATGCACATAATAGATTTACAGTTAATGAAATAAAACGTTTGAAATCTACTTCTGGATACTATCTTATGATCATAAACAAGCTTCTGTCCAAGTTTGTTAAAAATCCAGGATAGTTTAAGAAAGTTATTAAAATTTAAAAAACTTTAACCACAGAGTGAATATTTGTGGACGCCGCCGCCGACGGAATGTAGGATCGTTATGTCTTGCTTTTTGACAAAAGTCGCAGGCTCAACAAAAATGGGGCCTCTAGATACTATCTTTTGGTTGTAAGAAGCTTCTGTCCAAGTTTGGTAAAAATCCAGGATGGTTTATGAATCTAATAAATGTTTTAAAAACTTTAACTGCAGACAGTATGTTATGTTAACTTGAAGAAAAACTAAGTCCATTTATAAGTAATATACGGAAAAACAGAAAATAAATGTTTACAAAATATCCTTCTAGATACTAGCTTTTGATCATAAACAAGCTTCGGTCCAAGTTTGGTACAAATCCAGGTAGTTTAAGAAAGTTATAATATTAAAAATTTTAAAACTTTAACCACAGAGTGAATGTAATGTTAACTGGCAGAAAAACTAAGTCCATTTATAAGTAAAATACGGATAAACAGGATTTTTTTTAACAAAATTTACTTCTGGATACTATCTTATAAGCATAAACAAGCTTCTGTCCAAGTTTGGTAGAAATTCAGGATATTTCAAGAAAGTTGTTAAAATTTTTAAAACTTTAACCACAGAGTGAATGTAATGTTAACTGGCAGAAAAACTATGTCCATTTATCAGTAAAATACGGATAAACAGGATTTTTTTTTTACAAAATTTACTTCTGGATACTATCTTATGATCAGAAACAAGCTTCTGTCCAAGTTCGGTAGAAATCCAGGATAGTTTAAGAAAGTTATTAAAATTTCAAAATCTTCAACCACAGAGTGAATATTTGTGGACGCCGCCGACGATGACAACGACGGCGACGACGGAATTTAGGCTCGCTATGTCTCGCTTTTGTGATAAAAGTCGCAGGCTCGACAATAAGGACGAACTAAATATTTGATTTCAGTGAATATTCGTAAAGTAACAAATCTTACGTTATCAGACATTTCTGTTTAGATTATAGATAATAACATATTGAAAACCGATTTTTGTTGCTTTATTTTTAGGACGCAAGTGGATGGTACCAATGTGTTTTATATTTACAAGACAGGGTGCTGAACTTAAAAGTAAATGGCAAAAAAGTTTATTCGACAAACGGAATGTCAGGTTAGTCTTTGATAAACCATCATTACAGTATCGGTATCCTTCAATTTATTACCTTGATGTAATGACTTCCAATGTTCGTTTAGATGCAGGTTTTCTCTGAACGTGTTACATATTGTAGTTAAGTTTTTATCTAAATAGTGAACACTTTAAAATAATAACCAAAACATTCTACGGTCAACTTTCCCCAAAGGAGTTGGAGCATTAATTTCTGAATAATTTTCAAGTGGAAATTTAAGAAATGCTGGATCGATGCGTTTAAGACCCATTTTGTTTTTTACCTCTTTGGTAGGGGTTGTCTCTTTGAAACATTACCCTTTCCATTCTCTATCGTATGATATAAATCGTGTAGTTGTGAAGCACTTACAACTGGGTTAATGATGCCAGCGGTGGTCAGCATTCTCCAAATAGCCAGGGGCGGATCCAGGATTGTTGAAAGAGGTGCGTAATTCACGATAACTGGATATAAATTGCCGAGTGGAGCGAGTCGAAAACATTTTTAGGCCATTATATATCAAAAATTTATATATATCGTGAAAACATGAGATTTAAAATTTCATTTAGCGATCAAAGAGGGGTGTACGCACACTATGCCACTATGCCGCCACTGATAGCGATATTGACCCGGTGCTAGTAAATAATGATAACACGTTATGAATTAGTGCGTCCAAAGAATATTGTAAAAGTGTATCATGCTGTGTTTTTTTGGGAGGTTTCCTTTGTTTGTTTTTAAGGGGTTTTTTTATTTGCAGAACAAATGAATCTTAAATAAATAGAAATTGTTGATGATATAACTTCAACGTTTCCTACTTCATAGTTCCTTGGTGTAAGTAAGTATTAAGAAAATAGTCTGTTTCTTATACATTGCGCTTGTGTATTCCAGGACGAGTTAAATCGACGGATTGCCCGTTAACAGTGGCAGGTTCACCTACAAATCCACAAGAACATTTTGATGGATATTTGGATGAAGTAAGTTAATTTTTTTTCCACAATTAACATTCGTTAACAACGAATTACTGTTTTGATATGGTTGAAAAGATTTTCCTTTAATAACTGTGTCTTAAATATTATTTTTGTGTATTGATTCCGTTTAGTTTATCACACTAGAATTCTTTAGAAACAAGTAAACATTAAAATGATTATGCATCATATTTTAAGGAAGACTGATTTTTTTTTCATAATTTTGCTCAAAGGTATTCTAGATTAAGCAATTAAGCAAATACAAGTTGAAATGTGAGTAAAAAGAACAGCAAACGAGCAAGTAATTACTTAGCAAACATTACGTGTATGAATAAAGTAGTTCACAGTATTTCTAAGATTGTCTATCATCTAGCACTCATCCGTACATAATATTTGTTTGATGATGGACTTTGCTTTTTGTAATTCGTTGGGTTGTTTAAAAATAACATTGTCGTATTGTGGTGGAATCTATATTGCAACTTTTATAACATATGTTTTTTTTATTTAGCTACAGATTGTGAAACAGTGTAAATATGAGCAAGATTCAGCATCGTGAGAAAAACTTATGACTTCCAAATATCATATTTGTTGAAAAAGTTCTATAGTTCGAAACAGAATTGGTGTTTGTTTAAACTCTATTTCAAATCAAAATACGAAAAAATGCCAACAATTATATCAGATTAGATTTACATTTCACAAGCATATATATTTCCATAGCTTATGATTTTTCAATCACAATAGACACATTAGCTTATATCACACATTTTTTGGTAAAAGATCACTACAAATTCACCCAAATTTCCTATAGCAATACAAAAATTCTTTCTTATTCGATCATTACATAGATTCGGGTCTATAGTATACACACAATAATTGTCCATGAAATTTTGCATATGGAAATTAGTGTTCGTGTGGAGTTGTAATGCCTAAGCACATACCATAATATACTAACGTATTCTTGCAAATTGGAACGTGAAAACAATATGTGTTTTGAGTATAAAATTATTGTTGCCATTTATTTGTCATTTTATGAATTTCACGGGTTGTACGATTCACATCTATATGTTTCTTTGACTGTGTATAATATAAAGCGAAATCCAATAAAACATTTTACTTCAATATTGTCTACTTGTGTTATTATTTTACAATTTTATAGATCTTCATTCGAATGGAACACCATAACACCACATGGACATTCAATGTCACTTCTCCGCGACATGACCCATACGTAAAAAGAGAAACTGCAATCCCAACTAATAAAGAATTATATCTATATTAATTTTGCGTTCGAACAGTTCTAGGTTTTTTCTCCCTAAGAGTTTTAAAAACTAACAATTATTTAATAAAAACTTAGACGAGAAATAGTGAACATCTGAAAAACCAATAGATTGATTTAGTATTTTTTGTTAAAACGTACATCCACGTTAAAATAAGGTCGTTTTTTTCAGAAATTCGTCCGTTTCTTGTTGGATCTGCTTATATCCTTTAAAATCCTAAGATCCTTGACTGCAAAATTAGTACCTGTTTCGTTCATTCAATATAAAAAATTCAGTCAACTGCTAGAAGCTGGTTGGATATTCAAATTTTTTTGAGTGAAAAGCGATAATCATGAGTATAAAGTACGATTAAAATATCGATCACTATAATCTAAAAAAAAATCAATGACAAGTGAAATTGATTCTTATAACTTAGTCTAGTTAAATACAGTAGCATAAGCCTGGTGTCCTTGATGAGATTTTCTACTAATTTCTCTGAGTTAAGTTGTGTTTAACCATATCAATTTCTCTTGGATATCCTAAAATTAATACATGAATGAGTTATTTACAGCATCATAAGAGCAAATGGATTTGCCAGAGTCGCATGCACTGCTGGCAAATTCTCAGGTGTGAAGGAGTAGTATATCATCTACTCAATCCATTTATCAATCAGGAGAATAAACTCTTAGTAGGACTTTAGTTAGAACAAGTTTTGACTGGTTGGATATCGAATTTCAAATTGCAAATAAAGAAATGCTTACTATGAGTGGTAGATAGAAGATATGGGCAGTAATTAAACTTGTTTTTCTTTTTTCTTTCTTTTTGTTTTTTTTTTTGGGGGGGACCAATTTTCATATATTTTGCACAGAGAATTGTTTCATATTTTGTTATGTCAGGGCCTTTTATAGCTTGTTATTTGGTATGTGTTTTGCTTATTGTTGAAGGTCGTACAGTAACCTTTAGTTTCTATCATCTACGTCATTTGGGTTATGGTGGATAGTTGCCTCATTTGCAATCATACCACATCTCCTTAATATTTAATAGTGTTGATTGTAAAAATAATTTTACTCTTATAATTCATTCAAATTTAGGATGTACTTTGCCAGAATATGCATTTTACGTCAAATTATATTCTAATTGTGTTTACATATTAAACTAGATGTAAACAAATAATGACATTATAAGTAATTATATTGACCGAATTAAAAAGGACATATTATTCTTATAATACGTCTCTAACATTACAACCATGTTAATGAAGATTAATTACCTAATTACTTCTAAATATGGCAGTGAAAGCGAGCAATGTATAATTAAACGTATACATTCTGTCAATTTTGATAATAACAGTCAACATTGTCCATTTCAAGTATAGCTGTATTGGTACAAACTGAAACTAATATATACGACAAAAGAGAAGACTTCAAATTTGCCATAACTAACGTCCCCTCTTTTGGATGACTGCGATTTTCCTTTTGCTGCATCCTATGGCGTGTACACTTCACAACTTGTACGGTTGTAGAATATCGTTCAAATGAAACCGACTTTAATGAAAGTAACCTTGCATTTACACAAAAGTTACTTTTTACAGGGTTACAGATACCACCGATTTATTAATACTTTTAAAAAATCTGTTAGTATAGTATTTTATCTGTAAATATAATGTATCTCTGTTAAAATTAATATTCATTATTGTATGGTGTATTTCACCGTACCTTTCATTGTAAATTTGTTATGTCGTAAATAACACTAAAACATTGAAAAATTATGATGTATATGCACTTGGGGGAATTTTCTACATCTTTCAAGAGCAAGAGCTTCGGGCGTTATAAACTAATTCAGTTAAAATGTACTTTCTTCCGATGGTCTGGCGATTTTACATACTTACTGACTTCTCACAAATACTGACCATTTCAATTAATATTTATGATGAGACTTCATTAAACCTGTCAGGAGTGTGATATCTAATTTTGTTTTGTTTCCTCGAGCGTCAGTATCCAGCCAAAAGCGGTAGCTACCCTAGCTTGCTATCTTCCTGTAGTAGCGAGCACATTTTGGCCCTGCTTTCTAAGTTATATGCCGTCTTTTGTTTCCTTATTTAACACATTAAATCTTTAAGACTGCCAAAAAATTGGGCAATTCATCATAATCAACGCTATAATTTTCAAATCATGTCAAGGATGATGATGGGAGTTTTTAACGACCATGACTGGCTATACAGCCCTCGAACGATCGGTATGTCAAGGATAAGCTAAACATCATTATACTTGTTACCCTGGTTACATGTATATTGAATAGAAGACGAGGAGAAGGAGAAGAGAGACTATTATACAAAGTATTATTTGTTTAAAGAAGTTCCAAAAATTTTGATTTGAAACTGAGAGTAGACGGACAGGATGTATAAACTACAGTTATTTTTAGCTTGTGTATGGATAAGAGCAAGAACATATATTGCATAAGGGAAAATAAATTGAAATATCTAACACAAATTTAATATAAACTGTTAACACAGAGATATGTCTCGTCTTTTTGTAATTTTGATAATGCAAATGTTGAAATTAAAATAGCAATACTTTAACATGTAAGCTATGCAAATATTCAAAGTCAATAGACCATGACTGAAGGTACATGGCTAAATAATCTCCATGGAAATGAGATGTGCCAATGCTAATACAACTGCATACCAAATACCATTGACTTATCATAAGTCGATCCCTTTAAACACAAACATTATTTGTAAGATGAGATAAGATAAGATATTTTATTTCCAATTATGGGCCCCAAAGGGCATAAACATTACAACATCAATAATTTTTCATAATACAATACAAACAATGAAATAAAAAAAAAAAGTTTAACGAGAACTATTTAAATTCTTAAAGAATGAGAACTATTTAAGTTCTTAAAGAATACGTAGATAAAGGATCTATAGTATGTTTTTTTTTAATACTAATGCATTTTATTGCATTATTTGTAAACTATGTAAAAGTTTCAAAGTCAATGAACCATGATGAAGGGGTGGGGCTATATATCTCCATGGAGTGTCTTGCAAATGCCAATAAATTTGCATACCAAATATCACTGACTTAACATAAGCGCTTCATCTTAAACTGATCTAATCACAAACTAATACATGTAAACTAAGCAAAATTTTCAAAGTTAATAGACCATGACTGAGGGGGTGGGGTCAAATAATCTCCATGGAAATGATATGTGCTAATGCTTATACAACTGCATACCAATTAACATTGGCCTACCACTAGTGGTTCCTCATAAACTGACCTAATCACAAACTAATACATGTAAACTAAGCAAAAGTTTCAAAGTCAATAGACCATGACTGAGGGGGCGGAGCCAAATAATCGGCATGGAAATGAGATATGCCAATGCTTATACAACTGCATACAAAATATCATTGACCTACCACTAGTGGTTCCTCATAAACTGACCTAATCACAAACTGGTACATGTAAACTAAGCAAAAGTTTCAAAGTCTATAGACCATGACTGAGGGGGAAGGGCCAAATAATCTCCATGGAAATGAGATGTGCCATTGCTGATACAACTGCATACCAAATATCACTGACCTATCACTAGTGGTTCACCATAAACTAGACATAATCACAAACTAATACATTGTTGACGACGGCGCATATGTCAGCATACCTATGTCTCGCTATTTGACTCCGTCAAGGCGAGACAAAAACTAGATGGCTCACAAAATGATATCCTCACCACTTGCAAAGACTGTGATTTACTAAGGGAAACCTCAAAATGATTCTGATGCACAATGGCAATATATGGTTAAGATTTCAGAATTGTCCATAAATTGTAATGAGGGGTTAATAAGCATGCAGATGTGAATATAAAATATGTAACCCCATGGCCAACTAAATCAATGGCAAAGTCCATGCTTTGTAAAGGAAGCCCAAAAATTGATTCAGATAAAAAAAAACAATACAGGAGGTGCACAATGGCATTATATTACGGTGAAGATTCTGAGAAAGTTTCATTCAATTATGCCTACGGGTTTAGAAGCAGATGTAATGTGTACTATAGCGTTCAGATATGATGAAGTCCATATCATCCCAATGTTTTTAGAAGTTTTACCCAAAAATCATTCAGAGAAAGAAATGAAATAGCAGGAACAAAAGTACATCAAGGTTCTCAAAATTCTGACGTGAAGAGGTCCAGGATCAGTTGAGGACAGAAGGACGGACGAACGAACGAACGGTCGGACGAACGGACTTATTCCCCATTACTATATACCACTCTCTTTAGAAAACGGGGGTATAGAAATCTAAAAAAAAACTATAAAAAATTAATAAATATCGTTTATATGATCTTCATTGCAAAATAACACCCATAAGGGTCAAGCAATTACAAATAGCATGCATACACGTACAAGAATACAACAATAGAACATTTAACTTAATAAAAAATGTAAGAATCTATCCAATACATTTTACTAGTATATGAGTATCAATATATGTAATACGTTTTACTAGTATGAGTATCAAGATATTTAATACGCTTTACAATTATACGAGTATCATAAACCTGGTCAGTAGTCGCATATAGATTGTTTGCTGAAATGGACAGCAATGCATGCATTATACCGTGGACATACAGATTATAGATTAATATGAAACTTGAACAGGTGGCGACTTGAATTCGGTGGCATCAAGATATTTATTTACCAGCAGGTGATAGTAGAAGGAAATTTATTGAAATAAGATTAAGTTTTGGTTATATAATGATTTAATGTATTCTAGCTATTACTTAAACAATCTTCTGTATCTGTACGTCGAAGATACCAATTCTGGGTTTTAATCGACGGGAGAGAGAGAGCACAAATTGACC